GCAAGAAGTCAAAACCGTACAGGTTTACTGAATGAATAAACAATCACTACTAGGCTTCATGTTTACTGTTATTAAACATTCCTAATAGAAAATTAAACACATACAGTTTAATATATGCTTCAAACTGATAATGTAATATGGCACTACATTACATGAACAATACAAATCTAATTTCATTGTAATCTAACTGAATCAAGACTTCCTTGAGTTTTCTCTTCCAACTGAAATCTTTCACTAAAACAAATGAAGCACTTGTTTACTTTTAGATGTACCTATCACGATCGTTTATATTTTAATTAAGTATATATTTACATGCATGTAGATCTGTTAATTAACACAGGAGGAAACTTTGTTTAATTATGAGAGCATATGACACAATAATCTTTGGATGTTTGGAAGACCAGTGCTGATGGCTGAATAATAAGTTCAGAAGTGTATTTATTAGTATCCTCTTTGCTTAATTATCTCAAAACTTCATGACCTACAAAAAAGTATATTTTTCTCAAGAACTACTGTCAAAAATTTGTTCCTCCAATGTTTACCGAGTTATACCCAAGATATTTGCAGGATTCCATGTAAATTTCCATTAATTTTCGATTATATTAACCAAAATTGGAATGTGTATACTTAAGTAAAACTTCCCAGTATAAAATTTTGTCAAAATCAGTTTTAACGGGTTTCTAGTTGTTTAAAGTATACAGACAAAAGGGTGGATGTATGAACTTAGCAAACGTCATTGCTGCTATGCAGAGTGGCAAAATAAAAGAAACAGTGTTTATCTTAGCAAAATTTCTTACAAAGAAAATCAGGGATAATGCACCATCATGCCACATGCAACAATTAACTTTAAACTGAAAATTCTGACACAAAATACAAGGCTTATAGTATCTATTTCATCTATCAGCATGTAGCCTAGTATGCAAATGTACTGAGCAGTAAGAGTGTACTGATGATCTAATTAACAATACTAGTTATATCAAATGCCATTAATTTCCAAAAAGTGCCCATTTTTCTGTAATCCAAATGTGATCTTTCCAAGTGTAAATGTTGACAAAGTACCGGAAATTAAATCTGTTCATCTGGATATGGATGTTTTCAAGTCCTATATTAATACCATGATGGCAACACAGTACAATGTAAATTTGGAGAAGAGTCCAAATGCTTGCTAAAGCTTGCCATATTATTTAAATAGCAAAAAGGAAACCTATAACTGAAACAGTACACTGATGATTAAATTTTAAAAGGAAAGAACAAAATTTAGAACTGATGCAAGTATTATTCTAGCATAAAAGCTTCTTTAAACATATGGGCAACATAATATTCTGCTAAATCCAAGAATAAAGTCGTCAATGAAATTCATACTGATGTTGGTACTAAATAAAACCAAAATATGAAAAAGAGATCTTCCTTTCTCAATCATCCTACATAGCCGCCCCTCCCCCAACAAACAGAACAACTAAATCCTCTAATATTTTGGGGGATATCATCCTCCCTCTCCATCATCAATATCTGAAGAAAGGGCCTTCAGAACTAGAACAGTACAAACTGTATACATAAACGTGTCAAATCAGGCTATACAGCAACAGTATAGTCAGTGCCAAACTATGAAATTATCACAAGTCACATGTCTCCTCTATCTTCCAGATCAAAGAATAATCCAAGCAAGAAACCAGTATGAATCACTCTGCTGCTTACTGCTTCATGCTAGTTTCTTGCATGGCTTATTCTTCAGCCCTGATGATGGAGACATGTTTCTATGAAATTCTGGCAGACTTTCAATGGTCTACATAGCATTATATGAGTATCCAAGGATGATGGAACTCTTCATAACCACCAATGTCAGAACCTTAAATCCTACAAGTAATGAATCTTTGGGTTTATAAAAGGTGAATAATTTCTTGACTACACTTGGTTCAAAGAAAGAATGAACATATTGTGACGTGGATGGGTTTAAGCCTGCAGCCTACCCTACCAACAAAGCACATTTCCCTTGTCAACAAAAATAAAAAACCTAGAAAACAGAGATGGAATGACAGCCACAATATAACACAGAGCTGGTGGGAGTTTATGAAGGCATACAGAGGAGAAGCTGATAGACAAATAAGGGACAATCTAAGTTAATTTTCCCAGATGCAAAATCACATGCCAAATTATCCAAAGGATAACAACAATTCTACAATGTTTTATATATATTTGGAATAATTCAGAGATTAGCCAGTATACCTTATTTCATTAGGAAATGCACTTTACCTAAAGTCAGCTGCTGCTTTGAACATGCTGCCATGGAACAATAAGTCAATTACAAATCCAGTAAAAACATTGTACAAAATAGGTTTAGCCTGAATTCATCATGGCCAGCAATAACATTTCCTACTTTGCATACAAGCTTCTATACAACTGACCAAATAAAAAAAGCAGGTCAGAAACCTTCCCGGGGAAGCCAGATACCACATGCTAACCAGAAAAAGGGGCACATGCATATGCAAGAGGCAGACCCTGTGAAGAATGATTCCGCAGAACACATCTTTCACAGATGAGAAACAAGGTGTGGTGGCTATGTGGCATATAACATTAAGAATAAATAACACAACATAACATATGCTCCAATTAACACTATTTTCATCCCCATACTTACTTCCAGAAATGCCAAAGAGATTGTGAACTAGTCCAACAGTACAGTGCACAGTGCATATGTATACTCATAACATGTCGTATAAAGTACACAGTAATGTGACATACAGTATGCGCCAAAACTTGCAGTACTGAAACTCACGCATCTCAAACGTGCATGTGTGTTTTGTCGATGGGGCATAGCTCCAGCCGCATGTGTTTCCAGTGGTGAAAACGAAGTTGTGTTGTGCAGCTGTTGTTGGAAATGGGTCTCTCGACGGAGGAAAAAGTATTCATAGCTCGGTATAATTTCCGCTCATACGGAAGTGGTCGCCAAACAACTCACTTCCTTGGTTTTGTGCGGCCAGATGTTATCATCCAGAAACCGCTACATAGTACGTGTGACGATATGGTGTGCCGTCTGAGCACATGGTATATTAGGCCCCTATTTAATTGAGGATAAGGAACGCAATGCTCTTACCGTCACCCAAGAACGCTACAGGGACATGGTGATCAAACCATTTCTTCAGGATTTGAGAAGGTTCTGTTGAGCAAGGGGCCTTCACCTGAATAGACAGTGGTATCAACAGGACGTCTTTTCATTTCAGTACTAGATATTTTGGCGCATACTGTATAATAATATACTGGAATAATAAATTAGAAGAAACCACTGTCCACAATGAGATTATACAGTTGTCGCACACTGACAAAAATGGGTAAAAACATCTGTGGATGAAGTTATTTTTAACTCTAAAAATGACAGAGCAAGCTGGAATAACTCAGTCAGCATAGCGCCAGGTTGATGGCTGAAGAATTGGGGTTCTAGTCTTGGAAGGAACAAGAGATGTATCTCTTCTTTGCAGCATCCAGATCAGCTCTGTGACCCACACAACCTATCCTCTGGGTACCAGGAGCTTTTCCCAGAGTAAAACAGTCAGTATGTGAAGCTGACCACTCATTTCCATCTAGTGCCAAGGCTAATAATGCATGGATTGTTACGTCCACTCTCTCATATACTCTCATGGCATGGTGCCTAACTAAGCACAGTGATAACTTTGCCTTATCTTAGCTTTCTTTACTTCATGTGGCAGACAAAGACTTTGTAGCTAAAATCATTCTGAAGGTGCAACTGTCAAATTTTTATCACAAGAATATCAACAGAATAATGACCAAGCCTGCCATATCAGGCATTTGTATAGCCTGGCTATAGTTAAATGCATACCTCTCTCATACTGAGTGTATTTCCAAGCTTATAAGAGAGGAACAAAAGGAAGACATTTAAAATTAAATGCACCAGGCATAGCCATATTTGTTGATCTGTCTGAGATGTGAGGTTTCCATTCCTTATACCTAGAAGTTCTCCTTTTCTTTGGTCTTAGTAACCAAAGGAACAAATAATACAAACATGGTAGCGGTCAGAAAAATAGTTTTGTATTGTATGTTATTCAGTAAAATACTAAAATGAAGAAAACTTTGAGACATACAGGTTTTATTGTATCAATATTACATTAAGCAGGTGCTGACCATTTTCATTCCTGAATGGTTTTTCTGATATTTAAATAATATATTCCTCTCAGTTTCAACAATTCCACAAATAATCTGAGGTTAATAAAACATTAATTTATTTATTAATTTACAAAGTAGATCTCACAACTACTGAAGAGTTATAGTGATAACATATCTCTAAAGGATTAAGGAATTTTGAAATAGCTATTTAAAATAAAACTTCCAAGGAAATACAAAACAAATTTTGGTTAATTCGTTACACTGGCAGTATACTGCATGTGCTAGTGCATTATTCATTTAGAAAACTTCAGAACGTGGAGGTTACCAATGAAAGAATAAACTTAGAATTATCAAACACAGACCAAAGACATTTACTTTTGGAGCAAAACATGAAACAACTCTACACAACAACCTATTCAGCAAACTTCTTCCAGTTTTGATATTACATTAATAAATTATGCTACCTTCCATCAGCTTTCTCTAGAATGACTTGAAACATAATCTTCATATTCTATTCTTGACACACAAAGTAAATATTAGCATTTGCTTTGCTTACAATTATTCCATAGGTATCCACTGCACTTAAATAATGGCCAAGGACACACAGCAAACCCATAGGAAGAAGTCTGCACCTTTGTTTTCTATTGCACACAGTCCAACAAAGAACAAACACATGTACATCCTAGATGCATGGCTATTTTTTACAAAAGAGGACGGATTCTAGAACAGCCTGTAGTGGAGAAGGAGACTGGCATATTCACTATGACACTGCAAAAAGGGAAGGTGGAAGTCCTACTCATGCTTGTCACCTCGCTCTTTATCCTTGTTGATGGTGTGTGAGGAGGAAGGTAGGACAGCCAATGTGGTTGCAGGAGGCCTCTCACCTGGTGTTGTGATACCCGCTGCAGTACCAGTTGGTCCTACAGCTCCTGTACCTGAAGTTGCAGCTTTCTGCTTCAGCATAGTCCAGTCAAATGTGTAGTCATACTGATGATTCAATGTTCGGAACAGGATACGAAACAACTGACGTAGGTACATATAGTCAGGGCCTTCTTCAAAACGAAGACCTCGGCAGTAGTTCAGATACATTGCAAATTCAGCAGGAAAACCCTGTGTAACATATGATAATATCAGGCACATGGAACAATGCCTCATCAAAATGACCACTTTTGTTTAGAAGCTGCTGTCTTCAGCCTCATTTCCCACTTCTTGAATACATCATGCCTGCCTCCATGCATCACTGATGAACTCTGAGCCAATGAGCAAGTCTTCATAAAACTGTCACAATATTAACCTTCTGCTCTTTCTGTAAAACAAAAAAGGTCCCTGCACCTTCTAATATAGATAAAATAGCCAAAATACTGAATATTTTAGGTCAATGTAACTACAAGACTAAATTTTGCTTCCAAGGCAAGCCAAAATATCATGCTGCATCATGTCCAAGGCACTGTTAAGTTGAAGAACCAGAACACACCGATAAAATGTTTCGGGTGGTAAGCTGCACTGGTCAGACAGTGAGACCAACGTCGGATTCGGTTTTTTGGGGGGTTTTTTTTTTCCCCTGTCTATGCATGTTGTGAAACAAAGTGGCATGAACGATGGGAAGAATATGTCAGGAAGTAATTCTAAAAACTATGTACAAGATCAGTTGTAAACATAATGAACAAGTTCAATAAAGTTTGCAATCCTACTTGTAACTTGGCTGTTCAAGAGAGAGAGGGAGATTGGTTACAACAAATGTTTCAATTTTAAACAATACACAAGGAAAACAGCTGACAGGAACAATGGTTACCTGCTAGCTTGCAATTTTAGGTGTCATGTAGTAAGTTTCAGACATGATGGTCTATATTAACAGGAACTATAGATCAAAATTTGAATAATTATTAACGTCCATATTTTGATAACTCTCTCAACAAGCAGAAAGACTTGCAAGGAAATACTGATACTATTACATTTTATGCGAATCTAAATATTATGGATTTGAAATAATATGATATAAAAAATATTATTAAAGTCTCACATTATGCAGAAAGTATAAAATAATGCAAATCCCAAAAAATCTGGCAAGAATCAAGTATATTTCAAACCTTTCTTGAATTGCCTTCAGAATGTCAATTTTGCTGCTCTATTAATTTCACTCAATTATTTTCAAGGTCAGTCCATTTTAAACATGATAGCAATTTTGAGATTCTTATACTTCAATCTTCTTCATTACATTCTTGTACATTATCAGATTATGAATGATAAAGTTCTAATTCTTTTTTTTTTCCTAATTGTCATACACATAATGCAATAATCACAAACTGGTACAAAAATTAATTACTTATAAGGCTGTTCAATATATTTGAGTACTGTAAATAACAGAATCTCTGAAGGATTCTGCTGATCACATTTAAAAGTGAAGACCTGAACTTTTACCTTGCACAAAACTTCAACTGGTGTAGACATTTTCTTCTCACTGATTTTCTCATATTTCTGCTTCTTTGTGGCAGCCTGGAACACAAAATGAAAGAAGTTCCCTTTATAAGTAATGTGCTCTACTGTTCTCAGAAGTGTGGAAATGACATTTCAGTTTGGTAAATATATATTTTTGTGACTCTATATCCAATATTAGTTCTTACTCCCTTCAATTACATTTGATATGGCTGAAACTAGAAAGAAGAATATGAATAATAATGTGTTACTTACAGGCTACTGTGTTTGTCCATTCAGTCTGACAATAATTTAGTGTGGATACATGCCACAAAGATTATCAATTGCAGACTGCACAGAGAGTATGAAAAACAAAAAATGGAATTTATGGAAGAAACTATAAGTTAACATGTAAATTCAGTTAATTCAAGAATGAAGCTAATGATCATGATCAGGACTCACCACAGGATAACACTCCACAAACTTTACAGCTATGTGAATCATCATCTGCTGTTCTTTGTCAGTTTTATGCAAATATACATATCCAGTAAAAGAGGCTGCAATCCTTTTACTGTAATCTTGATTTTTTAACATTTACAAGGGTAAACTTACTCTCAAGGTCTACTGGGAGTGCATATACATATGGTAAATATGTAATATTACTAAAATATTTTATTTACTTTCAAACCCTGCCACGGTAAACTTCCTCGATTGAAGTACATCAAAACATAGCCCAGTGATTCCATGTCATCTCGACGACTGAAACAAGCAGGAAATATTTCATAATCAATAAAAGCATCTGCATGCACGAGCACTGCTACAACCCACACAGTAGTCCACACAATTTTCCATCTTCTTTTTCTAAATATTCTATTACATTCAATATATATCTCCCTGCAAAAAAATTTTTGAGTAAAAGCCTATCCCACTGGATAGGGTCATGTTATGTTTATTATACAATTATTCACAATACATTCTAATTCACAAATTAATAATTCTTCTATATAAAGAAATTCAAAGCAACTGCACAATGCATACATGCAAACACATCACACGGTGCAGCAACAACAGGTTCTACACTGATATGAGATTTGAGGCTTTCATGGCAGTCTGTCTTCAAAACTGTGATCTTGTGGGTTGTGATGATGTGTAATCTTACAGGTAGATACTGTTTTGGGGGGTCATACTGCCACTGTCTCCAAAAGCTCAAAAGATTTTGAACCTGAAATTGCATACACCTCTGTAATCTTGTAACTGACATATTTTCACAATCTTAACTACCTACAAATCATAATGCTTTTGTGCCTTAGCATGATTAAAACTTCACAAATACAACCCTCTATTCATGATAACCAATATTACTCGGCACAGCAGTCTTAAAATTTTACGGTTTGGGCCACAAAGATGAAATCTGTTGAACTGTGGATCTACCTATCTTCATAATGTCTAGACGAACTGTTAATAAAATTATTCTGTACAGGCCCAAAATAACATAAAACAAGGAAAGGCAAATGACTTTAGGTTTGGCATAACTAATACAAACAACTCTTAAATATTTATATGCAATATAAATCATTTTGTTCAGTGGTATCCATTTCTGTATGGGTTCCTACCTTGAATCAAGCAGGCAAATTGGAGAATTTGAAAACAGAAATGCAGAAGAATGAGGTGTCTGTTTTAGGTGTCAGCGAAGTGCAGTGGAAAGGACACAGTGAAATAAGAAGTGGTGATTATACAGTGTATTATTATGGAGGTGAACGGGCTGAAAGAGGTGTGGCAATAGTGTGCATAAAAGTGTAGTGAGGAGTGCTGTTAAGAAGATTGTTTGTAATGACAGAATTATTGCTCTGAAGTTAATGGCGGAACCGGTAGATATACTGATTATGCAAGTGTACATGCCAACATCAGAGTATTAAGATGATGAAGTGGAAAAAGTGTACGACACAATTGAAGAAATTCTTCAGGAAGATCGAAGAGGTGACACAAACAGCATCATATTAGGACTCTTGAATAGCATTGTTGGAGATGAAATCATATCAGAATATTGTTGGATCACATGGACTAGGAAGACGGATTCACAGGGGTCAAATGCTTATTGACTTTTGTGAAAGAAATGGACTGATTGTTACCATCACTTGGTTCAAGAAGCCAAAGAGAAGACTTTACACATAGAAGGCACCTGGGGATTGGCAGTGGCATCAGCTGGACTACGTCCTTGTGAAACATCGATTCAGAAAGAGTGTGA